AGTCGTCATAAAGCAGTGTATCTGAGCCGTCATTGACGCTGATTTGGCTTCAGTCAGATGCTAAACTCGATTGGTCTCATCACATCTCAGGGGAATCCCATAGTAGAAATCCTAAACCAACCTCAGTTACTTTGACTTTGTTTATTTATCAATATTATATCATTTATTTTTATTTAACTTTTGCCTGGACAAGATTGTCTTTGACACGTTGACAGTAGCAGGTGTTTGTGTTTAAAGGGCCAATGACACAAAGACAACGATGCTAAAGCACATGGCTGTTAAACCATGGATGTAGGTACCTCTGTTACTCACTGAAGCAATTTATTGTACTGTATTTTCCAGACTATAAGTCGCACCATGCACCGTGAAGAAAAACAAAACATATCTAAGTCGCAGCAGTGCCCTCTATCTGCTGTCAGTGTGAAAATAACAAACATGTAAATTTTCAGTGGTAGAGGAGTCCCAGATATTTTATTATATAAGTTACACCTGAGTATAATTCGCAATCCCAGCCAAGGATGAAAAAAGTGCGACTTTTAAATTGTTTCCGTGATTGCACTGTACAGTATGAACTAAGCCCTGTGTTAAAATATTTTTACGCATATATATTTTTTGAATTTATCGGAATCTTGTAGGGCTTACCAGATTTTCCTATTAATTTCTTCCAAAATATTTGAAGGTCAGATTGACATTGAGTCCAACAATTGCAGCAAATTACTCTTTGCAGTAGAGCACCAGTCTGTGATCAGGCTGCTGTGAGCGTCTGTTGTCGCTGCCATCAGACCTACTGTTCGACTCCTTTACTCTTCAGTGCAGCATTTTGGTCAGACTTCACTGCGCAGAAATAATTGGGCTACTCAATTAGACGACTCACTGACAACAAGTGCAACATTATCACTGTGCTACTGAGAAATATTGCCTCCTAGGGCAATAGCTGAGAAAACAAAAGTACTGATAAGAAGTGGATTAAAGAAAATGTATTTGCACCTGTGCCCCGTAATTACCTTTACAGTTCACAGCCATAATTCTGGTTCAAATACCTTGAGTTTTTGGCGTGTGATGTTCTGTTTGTTTCTGTTTGTTAGACTATGGCCAGGCTCCACAGCTGGTCAATCAACACTTTCGATTTTTTTAGGGTTCGTTTTTGCAACCAGATATATTCATTTCATCCATTCATTAGCATATTGATAATCTACTGTAGATAAAAACATAAAACATAGGCAAAATGTACTTTTTCCACATTGTGATTATTAATTATATATATATATAAAATATAAGGAAAATATTTAGATTAACATTAGAAATGATTTCTGAACTGTTTTCTACCTACCTGACCCATTACCTTATTGAGTTAGTGGACTAACTCTTGTGTAACTACCATACACTTGGTTTTCCCTTCAGTTTTTTCCAAGTGAATGGTTTTAGTCTTCTATCTGGTTTGATGTTTGATGTCATTGTCTAAATATCTTATGGCCGAAACCCTCCAAGAATGGGAAAAAGAAATATCTTTTACAAAGCCTTGTAAAAGTTTCTCACGCACCTCAAATTCATCGCGTTTTCATTGAGCAGGGTGCACATCCTGGTCGGTCATGCTTTTTTAGTTTGGCGGTGCTTCCTCACCTGCACTGTCCCATGTCGTCCTCCATGCCCTGTTCATGTGTCTTCCACGTGTTCCTACAACTGCTGCTCACAGACCTAACCAACCCAAACCTGCTGTTCTGTCTTCTGCTCTGTATCTATTTCACATCTATTTCTTCCAAAGCTGCAGAGGCGACAGCAGCAGCAGCCTCCCCCATCCGGGTAAAACAACTTTGTGCAAAAAGGGCATGTCAATGTTCCCTAAGGTTTTACTGCAGTGGTGTACAGCCATCTCAAGCTGTGCAGCTGAAATAGGTAAACTGTTTACACAGCTCTACTTCATATGTCCGTCTGCTTTGTCAGCAAGCTACCTGTGCTGTACAGTGATGGCACCTGGCTGCTAGTCACTAGTGGTCCGGTGCAGAGCTTTCCCCATCAGAGGATGTTGAGCTGCTGGGTGGTTCTGGAGCACTGAGATGCAGCGTTGTGTTGTGCCATACTACAGTATGATGCAGCTGTATCAGTGTCCAAGATGTTTCTCTGCTTGATGCTTCTCTCATTTCAGCTCCATTCGCTCCCAAAGTCTGTCCTTTGCCGCAGTACACAGCAGAGCCAGTAAACACAGATCTCCGCTCGACATTAGGACCAACTCCAAAACACGCATTCAATAAAACTGAAAGCCCACAGTATCTCTTTACAACAGTAAATACAATGGGAAACAGTCTCAGTCTGCCTCTGTTCACACACCCCCAAACTACCAAACATGCTTGTTCTCTCCCTGCTCCGAGCCGGCTGGAGTCAGCTGGGACAAAGAACCTTTTGGGATGAGACATTTCTGAGAGAGTTGATCCAACTTTGTCCCCTCAGGAAGGAAGCCCACGGCATGCTGATCCCACTAGAGACTGCAGGCTTCTCTGCAGTTCTCTCAGTGTCGTCTCAGTCACACTGCTGCCACGGTTGCTTGTACAGTAGTTGTTGGACACCACACTCATTGCTGGCTGCGGTGCATCAGAAAACCTCCGGCTCAAGCCCTGTGCTGCAAACATGTGTTTTCTGGACAATGTAGAGTTCAGGAAACAGCGTGTTTTTTTCTCTCTGTCAGTTTATGACATCTCAAGGGAGAGTCGTGGTCTGTGTGTAATTATTTCTGCTCATCTCTAATCACCAGGCAGAGCAGAGGACGGTCTGTTGAGAGTCCACATGAGCGCTCAGCTACTGTTAGAGCCTGTTCTAATTGTGCTATGTATTTTTAGAGCTACAATTCCTTCACAACGATGTTACGAAAGAATAGGCTCACTGGATTTATCCTGTCTTTATAAACAGCACAGACTATTGTTGTGCAGTAGAACTCCCTCCGTCAACACTAAACACTTTCTCCTGTTAACCAACATCTAAGTATGTTCACCACGTCACTCTTTCGCCACAGCCGACGTGTGCAGTGATCATGGAAACGGACGCTGTGGAAACAAAGCAAGACATGCTTGTAGAGGTAACCCAATCCAAAGGCCCAGGTAAACAGGAAAAAATAGTGCTAAAGTCACACCTTAAAGAGACAGTGTCCCAAAAAAAAACCCACCATTCCTGTTGTCAGAGATTATTTACCTTGTTGTCACTGTCTCTTTAAGAACTGCATGGTGTGTTTGACTTTTGCTGATGATCTGCTGTGTTTTTCTCTGACCTCTTTGATTGAAGTGTAATGGAATGAAAGGTTTTTAGTCAGGTGTGTGGGTGAAAATGTTTTGTCTAATTATTAAGGCATTCATGTGTTGTTGTTTTTTTCAATTACATATGTTTAGATTTAAGAGCACAAGCAGGATAGTCCATGTTGTTACATAATAAAAAACAAAATAGAGAAAAACAACAACTAGCATGGTGTCAGAACGCCAGGGTTGAAAACATGCTTCTCTACATCAGTGGGTCGGCGGCGCTGTCCTGTGGCGCACCACTGAGGTGCCACACTGCAGAAGAAAATGTCCTTTCATGTTTAATGCATGAGTGTGTGATCATGCCTTTGGCAATGCATTATGGGGTTTGTACCAGAGTAAAAGGCCTGTACAAACACTGACGCTGAGTGAGCATGCAGCAGGGAACAGTGCCACTCTCAGCGTTCGGAGTAGAGGGGAGTGGGTGGAACAGCCTGTTAGAAGCAGTTCCACTTTTACAGGTGTGGTGTTGAAACTGTACGACACAGTTTCACAGGGATGGAGAGAATACAAACACGGGGCAGCTGCACTGCAGATGAACACTCTACTGCACCTCTTGGGTCGCAATAAAATAAATAAGAAGCTGTTGTTTAAATTGGATTGATTTCAGGGGTTACTGCATATTTTATCACTGTACTGATTCTTGTTCTGCTTTTAAGCAAAAAAAGCATTCCACTACTTAGCTACGTCCAGTTTTCTACTAGTCTAACTAACTAGCTAGTCTAACTAACTAGTCTTTGATTAGCTCTAAAGCAACAATACTACAACAGGTGGTTTTAACTGCTGATAGGGCACACAATCTGAACACTGGATATTCCTTAGAACACTCGAGATGTTGATTTACAACAGCTGCAGTTTAACTGTAACCAACCCCGCAGCTAACTCTTCAACAACCTGACAGCCAGGCCTGCACGCTGCTGCTGCTGCTGCTGTTTTATATTATAATAAAAATTCCAGAGGCTATAATCTCTAGATTGTCTAACCACAGTGACTGTCCTCCATCCTGTTGCTGTGGTGTTTGCTGTGTTCTGTCTTTTGGAGGCATTTTGTTGTAAGTTTTTGCCATTTAAAATAGAATATTACAAAAGTCATTTGTAATAATTGGCAGTCTCCTCTGACCTGCAGGGTCGTCGTGATGACTGGCTTTTCATCTGTATGTTCACAAGAACAATGACAAATCTCCATAAATTATCCCTCAGTTGTTCAGTTGTTGAAAGACTCTATAATGTGATACAAGGAGTCAACAAGAGAAGACATGCAGCCCCAGGTCACTGTGGAAATAAGTTTACTGTATCATTTCCCATGATGCCCCTGGGTTATTGAAATCCCACACCAGTTGCTACTTATAGCTCTGAAAGAGATACAGGCCGAGCTGCGAGAACGCCTGTCTGCACAGTGGTGTAGAGTGGCTTTGTAGTTCTGTAACCTCATCCCCCGAGTTCATGCGGCAGATCTTCTCATACATGAACGTCTGAGACACAGAAGAGAACGTGGGTAAAGAGCTCTAGAAGAAACTGCTCTGTTCTGCAAATCAAAAGGTCGTGAACATTACACCTCCTTACAGGCAATAAAGATTATGGAAAATGATGAAAGTAAAAGTCCAAAGTTAATTTTTATTTTTGTCCCCAACTTCCTCATGACTCCTGTTTATCTCCCCTGAATGAACCATTTTATTGCATGACATAAAGTATATTACATGAAGATTTTGGGATGTCCTACGTAACAGACGTACATAATTATCTTTTGCGGTGATTAGCCCCAGATATGTTAATCGGTTACTACTTACTGATATCATTTAGAGTTGGTCAGATATTGGAGGACATCTGTGCTGAGACACACTGGTCTTTAAGTCCTGCAGCCTTTCTTGAATGTCTGTGTGTGAGGACACAGTGACAGAGAGTGTAGTCACTGAATGGCAGTGAGTTTGAATGAGTGTTCACAGCTGCCGTAGGTGAGTACACAGCAGCAAACCTAAAGAGCCGAGGTTTTCCTCTCATTCCATCTGCTGTTTGGTTTGGTTTTTCCCTTCACCTTCCTAATGCATCTCTAACACAGAACACGCCCATCTGCAACTTTCTGCTCCTTATCTGGCTCAAAGGTGGCACATAAAAAGTCCACATCAGGATGAATGTAATACAGGCTATCACACTTTCCTGTCACTATGACAGAGAGAAGACGGCAAGGCAGATTCCAGCCGTTCAAACGACTGTTTGGGAAGAAGAAGAAGAAGCAGCAGGTAGACGGGGGTTTTGATGGAGCGGACTTGAAAGCCAGTGTTTCTACAGGGGAAGTGTGCAATGGAGTTGTGTCTGACGATGAGGGGGCCGTTCAGAATTTAAGGTCAGTACTCAGAGAGTGTCAGTCCAGAGTCCAGAGAATGTTGACCATACAGACATTTCATGTTACAGTCTGTGATTGTAAAATGATTGCACAGTATTACACTCCTGTCTCTGCAGGGAGGTCAATCCCATCGGATCTCGAGCCCTGTCACACGACAGCATCTTCATTCCGGACGAGCCCGTGACAGAGCCCACCCTGGATCACAGCATGTCCCAGGAAAACGTATCTGACAAAGTTCGGAATCTGCAGGTGAGACATTTGCTCGGGTAACTGATCAGTGATGCCGTGTGCGTTTGAAATCTCAAACTCTTTGTTTTTAATCACACAGAGACAGATTGCTCAAGGTATAAAGTTTGGCCAGAGACCACCTTCCCTGAGGAGGAGCGAGGGAGATGAGGGCAGCTCAGATGAGGAAGAGGTCCCCCAGAGCCCCCTGAAGGTGTTGGCCCAGGTGGAAGCTGAGCCACCACAACCGGAGCCAAAGGTCGGTTCTGTGCGTGTTTACACTGACCTTTGAAAACATCCGTTTTGTAACTGGACTGCAAAACAAATCCAAACTCAATTATACGTTTTTAAACCAGATTTTAAATGGATTTTACTGGCTGACGCCGTTGCCAATCATACACCATGTCCACGCCTACTTTCTTTGGGGTTGGGTGACTGTGCAGGGCTCGTTGATCTTTATCAGCATCAGCTGTGATCAGTGCAGAGTAGAAACAGTATGAGAGTCAGGGGAAGTGCAGCTCTGTGTGCTGTTGAAGTGGTATTGTTTTTATCTGAGGAAATGGACACGTGTCCACAGCGTTTTGTGGTGGTATAGAATGAAGATACAAAAGTGCTGCAGTGTCACTGAGCTGCTGCTGCTGCTGAAGTGGAGGGCCAGAAACACAGAAGTCTGAAGTGGTAATGCTTTTATTGAAAGTCATCTTGCGGTGTAACGTCTTTGACTTTTTAATGTTAATGTTCTATATCATACATATAGTGCTTTTCTAGTTCTGATGAGCATTTAAAGCAGTGATTCTTAACCGTGGGGCCGCGGCCCACAGATCAGCTGCGACCACCATTATCAGGTCCTCATGTAAAATTCAGCTTATAACCCAGGGTTGGGCAAAGTGTTCCACAGAGGGCCGCTCGCTGTGGCTGCAGGTTTTTGTTCCAACCAATCAGCCATTTAATTAAGTGATCTGAGTCTTCAGACAGCTGATTGGTCAATCAGTGTGTGGATAGGTTGGAACAAAACCCTGCAGCCACAGCGGCCCCTTGTAGAGCACTTTGCCCACCCCTGTTATAACATGCGGGCAGCAGGGACAATGGCACAAGTAATTAATATGTTGTTATAATAAGTTATCAGAGGTGATGCTGTTATTTATTAGGTTTAGAAACAGTTGTGTTAAGATTTTTTTTAAAATCTAAATCAGGTACAGGGGACCCAGACCCACAGCACCCCAGTAAAGTCCCCACGATCCAAACGGGTTCTTCCACCCACCGGCACGATTGAGTCCATCAACCTGGACGCCGTGCCACAGTCGGGTCCTCGTCTAGACAACGCAGCTGCCAAGCATAAACTCTCCATCAAGCCCAAAAACCAGAGAGTTTCGCGCAAGCACAGACGGTTTACACAGGTGAGCTGGAGCTGGAGTCAGAGAACAATGAAATCCAAACTTGGTCTCTGTATCATTTCTAATCATTTAATTCTTTGTCCTCTGTCCTTAGGATTTCCAAGGCGTGTCCATCCCTGGTGTTGTGGAGGAGGAACATGAAGCAGCGGGGGTGTCTGGTGTTGATCAGCGCAGGGCTTCTGTGGAGTCACTAGAAACCATTAAAAAGCAGCGCCTCCACGAGGAGGAAAAATTGGAGGCAAGAAGAAAGAGAGAACTGGAAGAGCAGAGGCTGAGACATGAGGAAGAAGAGCGGAGGAAGAGAGCAGAGGAATTGAGGCTACGGGAAATAGAGGAAGAGAACGAAAGGTGTCGTAAGCAAAAGGAGGAGGAGGAGCAAAGGAGGCTCAAGGAAGAGGAAGAGGAAGAGAAAAAGATTAGAGTAGAGGAAGAAAGGAGGAGACGAGAGGAGGAAGAGAGAAAAAAGCAAGAGGAAAGGATGATGCGCGAAGAGGAGGAACGTCAGGAGAGGGAGCGGGAGGAAAGGAGGCAGATGGAAGAGCGAAGGAGGAAAGAAGAAGCAGAGAGAAGGAAACAACAGGAGAAAGAAGAGGCTGAAAAGAAGAGGAAACTGAAAGAGGAAGAAAAGGAAAGAAAGAAAAGGGAGGAAGCAGAGAAGCTGAGGTTGGAAGAGGAGGAAAAGAAAAAACTGGAAGAAGAGGAGAAGCAGCGAAAAAAAGAGGAGCAGAGGAAGTTACTGCAAGAGGTTGATGAAGGCACAGATCCACAGGAGAGGAAGAGGAGAGCAGAGGAGCTGCGTTGGAAGGAGATGGACGAGAGGCAGCGACCCTTCTCCTTCAAGGTTTCCTCTGGTGAGAACCAGATTTTGTTCCAAAAGGTCAACCTAACACCTGTTACACCAGCTTCCAGTCACCAGAGCGGCGGTACTGCAGAACAAGGAGAGGGAGTTAAGGTGTCTCCCCCTGAGGGACCAGAATCCCCCAACCTTCCTGCTTCTTCATATGTCCCTCACACAGCCATCTTGGTGACAGGAGCACAACTCTGTGGTCCAGCTGTCAAGTTAGACCAGATCAGAGACACCGCCTGTAAATCACTGCTGGGCCTGGGAGATGACAGGAAGGCCCAGGGAACACCACCCATGAAGAGCAAAACGTCCCCTGACCGCAAGTCCGGCAAAACTAAATCCCTGACCGAAGCTACGGTCTCCTCAGACGCAGACGTCCTGGCAGAATGGGCGAGTATCAGATCAAAAATATTCAAGGGTGTTGAAGAGGGGAAGTATGAAGATTACCTGGACGGGAACAGAAAGCTCGCTCAGCCCAGTGGTGAAGACCAGCCTGCCTTCCCTCACGCTAACCTCAGGAAGACCATGTCCGCCAGCGCCAAGTTCTCCATCACCCCGGCCAGGATGAAGTTTGGAGATTCAAACAGAAACTCAGAGGTGTTCTGTGCCGAAGACAAGGAGGTGGGAGAGCTGGCCACTCCCCCGGAGAGACCCACCACACTCTCGCCAACTCCGACTAACAAAACCCAGAACAAGACGAGCAAAACTGTCCGAATTGTAGAGAGAGGGTCCGAGGAATGCGTGTTTGCCAAAGACCTTCCCTCTTTCCTGGTTCCAAGTCCTGGAGCCAAATCTGATGGAGCAGAGTTGAAGAGCAGAAGTCAAAGTGAAACAGGGATGTTTGAAAGTAGAGAGGAGGGAGACGAACAGGATGGGGAGGAGAACCCCTCACCTTTTGGCATAAAGCTAAGGAGGACTAACTACTCCCTGCGTTTTCACAGTGAACAGTCCTCTGAGAAAAGGAAGAAACGCTACAGCGCCGGGGACAGCTTCGATGGCGTCCCTTCGCCACTCACCCCCATGGAGTCGGACTTTGAAGTGTCCTCCGTCTTTTCCGACAAATCCAGTCCTGATTCTCCACAGAGAGAAGGCAACATCTACAAGTACCTACACGCATCGCCCTCCCCTTCTGGCCCTCGGGCAAAACTGGGAAAGTCTCCTAGCCCAACCTCGCACAGTGAAGGGGAGAAAGTGTTTTCAAAACCACCGCCCTACCGAAGGTCGGCCACCTCACCCAAACCTACAGGTTCAGTCCTTACACCTCCCCCATCACCTTTGCCTAAACTTGTCCATGGGCCTTCGTGCGACGCCTCCGTTCAGAGGACAGCGTGTGTGGAATTGTTCAGTAGGGAGCAGACACTCCAGGAACCTTCACCGGTGGCTCAGGTCCTCCACAGCAGCCAAGGCCAGGTCCATGGAGAGGAGGAGCCGAAGGAGAAGAGATCATTCTTCCCTTCGATCAACATCCCCTGGAGGGAGAAGGTGGACAGAAAGACAGAGCTCATCAAGAAAGGTCCGTGTCACTGGGTACTGGGGTTCATTCTGGTTATGGGGAAATCAGGATTTAACACAGAAAAAAAGTCTGAACAGCTGATTAAGTTAACAAACTTTGCAATGAGGGAAAATCAGCTGCAAGTTTGAAATATATTCAAGCTTCCCATCAGGATTGATATTTATAAAGACATTTGATGTCAATCAATTCAAAGGTCTTATTTAAATTAACTGGGTAGCTGTGGATTAATTACAATTAATCACAATTAGAATTTATCCTGATTAATCATGATTAATTAATGTGAATCCTCGACGCTAAAAATGTTAAAAATCAGTTTTTTCTGTATATTGCTGGAACAGAAAGATGGATGATGTATGTGCTTCTCACCTCTTACAGCAAATTATGTCGAAAAACATCAAGAAAAAGATACAAAACTAAAACCATCCTAAAGTATGTAATAACTGTATTTTTTTCATAGAGTTGGTGGATTTTAGTTATTACTAAACGAGTTTGTTTCACTGAGTCATTGTCCTCAACAGTGTTACTCAGTCCACAGTGCCTCACACCCCAGTTGACAGTTGTGTCAGTCAGCTTGTTAGTCACACTTATTTACTGTGAGGCTGCCCTGACCTGGAGTTGGAGCCCCCTGCTGGATCAGATTCTATTTTAAGCTCCTGCAGTGTGTTTGTAGTCTGGATATATGTACAGTGTGCATTATTCTGACTGTGTTAAAATTCATTTACATTTTTTAAATGGACTAATCTTCATAAATGAATTAACAGGTTAATTGCGACGGCCCTAATATTTATCTTTACAAGTGCAGTTGTTGTCAGGGGTTTATAGCTCTCTGGTTAAACATTCTCTTTAATCTGTCGTGTGTTAAGTCACTATTGATGTTTGGAGCATATTAGTGAGTAGTTCTCTCATTGGTTAGTGTAGTAAATTCTGACTGCACCCACTGCAGAAATATTTTGACTTCAACTGCACGTCAGCAGATATTTTATGTTTTATCGCTTTTACACGAAAAAATAATTTTACGATTAAACTTACAACCTCCATTTAAGGAAAGTAAGGTTTCTAATTTAATATTATAAATAAATCTCCATTATTTAGACAGGAGGACAATTGAAGAACTATAAGTGGTTTCATTAACCAACTTCATTCTCTTTAATTCTTCAAAAATCATGTCAGACATTGATATCCGCAACAAAGGCATTTACACAGGGAGATTTCTCCAAACACTCAGGATTATTTTACCTTCACATCATCGGAGACCAAATTCTGAAGCTTTTGAGTTCACAGTCCATTATCAAAACAAAACATTAATGACGACGCGTCTCATTCCAGATAAGCCGTCCCTACAGAGCAGACACTCACTGGACAGCACTAGAGTCCAGGAGAAGGAGGCGGGGCCCTTATGGATCACCCTGGCGTTGCAGAAACAGAAGGGCTTCAGGGAGCAGCAGCAGAGCAGGGAGGAGCGCCGTAGCCAAAGAGAGACCAAGCTGGCTGAGAAACAAGTCAGAGACAGTGTGAGTGTGCTCCCGACCCCCTTTGGCTTTCTTTACTGGACACACAGTTTTCTAAATGCTGCTGCATTGTGCAGGTTACACTGGTCAGCCCCACTGAGGGCAAAAGCAGTGGATGCTTCAGTCTGTCTAAACCTCAGACACCAGAGGAGCCGAAGAGACCTGAGAGTCTGCTGGGACGACTGGAGCGAAAAGAGCAACTGAAAAAAGCCAACACTTTACCAAGCTCTGTAACTGGTGAGAAAACCACAAAAATGTTTTTTGTCTTTCTCTCTTTGTCAAAAAGCACTTCAAAAACCAGAACACAACATCAAAAATGTCTTAAAACCAGAAACCAAAAACACTGTCATATCTGTAACATGTTGTACCGTTGGTGTGTCGTCGCAGTTGAGATTGCGGACTCTACGCCGTCGCCAACTGCTGTTAAAGAGGTGTCAAAGCGCTTCCCCTCCAGCGATTCCCCGCAGGTATCCACCGAACCCGCCTGGCTGGCCCTGGCCAAGAGGAAGGCCAAGGCCTGGAGCGACTGTCCTCAGATCATCAAATAACACTTTGACCTGCATCAAGTCTGCACACTGCCCACAGACACTCGAGCACCGGGGAAGTCAGCATCCATTAAGATCCCATCTGTCGACTCCTGACTGAAACAAGTAGAAGTCCGCTCACCTCACCATCACACACACACACACACACACACACACACACACTGGCTGGTTCTATAGATAAAATAAAGTGCGCTTCACATTCAAATAATCCAGTACAACTGCACACATTATTTAAACAGCTGTTGCAAGCATGCACATATTATACTAACAAAGAGAGGACAGAGAGTCCTATGCAGCCAATCACAGCCATGGCTGGCCATTGCAATAGCCAACTTCAACTGTTTTTATTTTAATATTTTTTTTATATTTGAAGCAACTGTGACACCATGGTTGAAAAAAAAAAAAAA